CCCAAGACCTGGAAAGAACAACCTCAGATTTGCATGCTTTATGACAAAGTACTGCCACTGATAACTTTGTTTCCAGAAATCTTCTAAAACCAGTTCATCTCTTAAGTCCATCAGCTGAGAGGAGACATTTCATGTAATGTTACAAAGTGTATAAACGTTACTAAGACAGCTTCACTTAAAGCTACAGAAAATTACCATGGCTGAGTTCTTCCAAAGGGAAGGTTTTAGCATCATTTCAGAAGTTCAGAGATTTAGTGAACTAGGTCAGCTTAGCATTAAGGTAAGGCAAATACCAATTCACTTTACTTCACACCAACTCTGGCAGTAAAACAGAAATGAAGTTTTACCTGCAAGAGATGCTTACTGATGGGCACTGAAAATTTAAATCTAGGTGACGTAGAAACATGGATGATTTCTCATTGCTGCAAATATCCCATGATGTAAAAGTACCTAACCATAAGCCAGTTCATGCTCAAGGGTAGAGACAGGAAAATCAACCATAAGATGTAACTTTGCTGTACTAAAGAACAATTGGAGAAAAAGCAGGAAAAACACTTAAAATGCATCAAGTACAACAATCTAATAGCGGTAAAAGAGGAAACCGGAATGATTAAGAAGAGTGGGCTTGTCTGATCGAAGGAAATGAATATATTTCATCCTTTTCCGGTCTGGAGAGCCAAACAAAATTCAAAGAATGACTAAGTGATACCACATACAAAGAGCAGTACTTACATTTCATACCTCAGGTGAGTGAAGGCATGAGTATGACTCATCATAGGAGTGTTACTGTAACTTCACACCTTAAGCTTCATTTTTCATGTGTAGGAACTACTGTACCAAAGCTGATCTTACCTGTACTGTTTGTACTGTATAAATCTTCTTCAAATTTGATGCACATTCAGCAGCTGTAGTACCAGGAAGTGACCTTGAAAAAAAGTAGAGGTTAATAAAAATATGTATCTCATCTGGGGGCAGGAGGCAAGGGAGGGAGGTGGATGGAGAAAAGTGAATCGTATTAGCAAGAAGCTGAAACATTCCCATGTCAAAGTTACACAATAAACTCCAATTTAGATGATCGTTACTCATTTAAAAATAGGAATGTAATTGTTCATATGCTTTAGGATGAATTGAGATTTGTCAGGTAGTTTACAAAGTTATGTTTTAATTAGACAGGTGAATTAAGATTTTAAACCAAAAAGAACTGGGTTCCTTTTAAAGGCCACCCCACTCTCATTTCTGTTTTTAGGCATTAAAAAAAAATCTTGAATTTTAAGGGTTATCAGCAACTGAATTCAAGCTAACATCCAAGATTTCTTTTTAAATGCATTCAGTATAACCCAGATCTCCCTTTGGCCTTTTAAAAATACGCTCAGCATTTCATACTTCCACCTTCTTTTGAGAAAGGTTAGCTATATAATTGATTACATTCTCAATCTGAAGTTCTGCTTGCTCGCACGCACCGCTAGATGGCACAAAACTACAAACTCACGTAACCGGTGCGGTACCCGAACCCACAGGAGCCCATCGGGATGCTCACACCCCGCGTGGCCTGGCCGCTGCGGCCCCTTTCCTTTACAAAAGCAAAGCAAGCCCCCGGCCTCGGGGGCCCGCGCAGCGCTTCGACGATTCGATCGCACCAAGCAGGCACGGCGAACCCCTAAAACCCGTCCTCTGCGACCGCAGCATCGCTGAGGTAGGATTTGAGGGGCGTGAAGTTAAAATGGTAAAGGCGTACTCAGTGTGTGAGCACTGGAAACATTTCCTTCTCCGAACTGAAAAGTGCTATTTCTAAAGCAGAACGAAGATCGCAACAGAATCTTTATTTTGAGACAAAGCAACCTTCCGTTTCACCTTTAAAAAAGAAAAAGAAAAGGAAACACAAGTGTATAAGACGACTGGACCAGGAAACAGGAGCAAGAGAGTAGATTTAAGAAACAGAGAGAAAAACAAAGTTGTTGCCCAGGTACCTGCTGCAGAAAGAGCTAAGGATAAGGGTAAAAGAGACCTCAGGAACCCCCCCACCTATGCGGCGTCTCACCCCGATACATCCCATCAGCATGAAAGCATTCAGGAATACACTAGGAGACCTCGCCGCTGTTAAAGATATAACTCAGGTTCTGGGGCGAAAACTGGATATACATATAAAGGACGATACTGAACAACTAACCTAAGCAAAACTACTAAAACAGCATCACATTTTCAAAACCCTAATACTAGCGCCAACGTTATGTGAAGGCACCTGTCAAAATGAATGACTTAAAAATACACACAAAAAAGGCAGAGAACCCCCTCTCAACTTTTTCAGTGTAGAAATGTCTACTTAACAGTAGCGCTGACAGAAAGCAGAACCTCTCAAATATTATTTCTTGTACATACACAGGTGAAACCAGGATAACTTTGCTTCTCTATGTCTCATACCACTGCCAGAGAAATCACTTCTGTTACATACTACTTCTGCCAGTTTGCTAACTCGACAGCCACCAAGGTGTACAGAGTTAACTTGGCTTTATAACTTTGCTTTACAGCATCATCATTCTATATATCGACATTGATATTGCTATTGAGATGCTGTGATAATAAAGTCTATTCAAATGACAGATAAAAAGGTATTCTGTAACAACAGCCACCAAAGGTTATTCAGGTACTCATAGTAGCCATTTAGCAATTTTAATGCCATTTCAAAAATCAGCTAAGAATCAGCTAAGAAATACAGAATATTCAGCTCTGAGGTCATCAAAGGATTAATTTTGAGAGTTGTAAATAATGTATTCCGGACAAACTATGTGATCAGCTGGCAGAAGAAAACAACCAACTAGCAGACCATTTATTTAAAAAATTAAGGTGATGGACTATTCTTTTATTTCTAGTAACTTGCTCGGCAAGCGCTTCATGCCCACAAGACTACACAGCACTATTTCAGCCTTTCATCCCACTCTGGAAAGCGTCATTCATCTTTTGGGTCTCACCTCTAATGCCCAAAGCTTTTTTATTAAAAAAATACTTAGAAAAGATGAAGAGAACGCCAAAATAACTATTCAACTACCCAACTAACCCTTTTTTATATGCTATATTCAGCTTATCTTTTTAAAATGTTCAAATTTATCAGGAATACTCTGCTATACCTCTAGATTATTTATAACCTATTATTTCTGTATACAATCAAAACCCCAATTCATGATTTGATTAACTAGGAAAAACAAACTATTGAAAGGACTGTAAATTATAAAATGATAACATGCATCAATTTAAGTTTCAGTTTTGCACCTTCTACTGCACTACGAGAAGTTACACTTGCATAAAATAGGATTAACGCAGGAGTCCAAGGCAGAAACAATATATCAGTCACAGCCAGCCAAAGCGGCAGACATTAAAACAAAGTACTCAAGCTACAGACAACAACAGGAAAAAGCACGTGGTTTCCTGCAAAACCACAGAACGCTGACATATCTGAAGTGCTGCATTTCTGTGATAGACACCCATAAGCTCCGTAGATCAGCATAAGACGACAACCGATTCGTTTTTGTGCCTTGAATCCCATGAAATAGTAATCTTTTGAATTTGAGTCCATAGGAAAAGTTTAGCTTAAATCAGCACAAAATGGCACATGAGTTTCAAATGACTTCTTTATTATTCCGCCATGAGTAATGAACAAAGATAAAAAGATAAATTCCATTGTTTTATCCATGAATAAAACACCTCCAGGTGGTTGCACTTATGTTAATGTCACAAAAGCTGGAGAAAAAGAGAAAAGGTTAATTAAAAAGAGATTCAAGGCGAGGACTTCTGATGTGCTCAAATGTGCTCACGTTGGCCTTTGTTTCCCAACAGGAATCTTATCATGGCCTCAGTGGGAGCAACTTTAAAAGCAGCTGAGCATTTCAGAAAATACCACTGCAAGTATTTAGGTGCAACTAGTTTTGGTACAAATAAGCAAAATATTTAATTCCAAAGCATATACTCAAAAACATGCTGTGGAAACTAAACAAACCTAGTAATCCATTCTGAATACAGACAAAAGATGGATTTCAGGCTATCAAAGCCTGTCAAAATGCATTTACTGGTTTGCATATTTGTATAATATTAACCATCATTTTTCATTGTAAGCCACCTACTCATGAGCTTTAAAAGATGAAATAGATGATTCTAGATAAATAAGATTTTGCTATAGGGAAGAAGGGAAAGTATTAAGTTTTGTTTCAAACATTTGATGTGTTCAGCTATAAAAACTCACAATTATTATAAAAATGGCTCAATTACAAGAACTTATCTACTAAACTTTATTTATATAAAACTCACCAGTGTAACACGGAGCGAGAAAAATAAACATATAATGTGTTTTCTAAGAACATTTTCACTTTCCTAGAGCAGACTAATAGCATCACATTACATTTGATAACATTTATTAGCATGTTCTTCCTCCCAAAAACCAGATGCAGAAAAGTTAAACTGGTCTTACCACAGAAACAAACTAACTTAAAATCACTTCTAGAAGTCAGGCAAGAAGACATGACAGGCCAGCCTTGATCCTACAGTCCGACCTGTACAGATGTACACTCAGACTTCAGCTGAAGAAAGGGGATCTTTGACAAAATTCAGCTAGACTTTTGTACCAGACTGTAATGCGATCTGTGCTCTTCTCTTGGTAGCACTGATTTGTAAAGAAGGGAACTGATATTTTCCTTACTGTTGGCTGAAATTGGTACATTAGCAATACTAGCAGCTCGGATGCAGGTAGGCTTTCAAAAGATGTCTTTTTGCAAAGGCACGTAACGTCCCCATTACCGCATGTGCATTCACACACATTGTACCGAAAACTGTAACCACGGACAAAACCTCCAGCTTCTCACGGTGAGGCTGAAAAATCAGGCAGCTACTAATGCTAGTAAATTTTCTTTATTATTTTGTAGGGA